AAAATGTCTATAATAATCTATATTTATTAAATATAATTTATTAACAAATGTGTTAATAAAGTGTATATTTAATAAATCAAAGTATATCTGACCTGCATTTTACGTTTTTAATTTATCAATTAGAGTTATTTTCAATCAAACTGACCTCACTTGTTTACTATAGTATATATTATATAAACTGAATAACTGAACATCACTCCACAAGATGGGGTCATGTGACAAAGTAGTACACTATTGTTTGACATTTATTGCGGCATAATTCCCACTGTTATGCTAATGATGTTTTTAATTTACGTTTACAGTGTGCACTACAAAGTATTCAGAAAGCAGTACACTAATATTTCATTGTAAACATTGGCTTTCTCTCTTAGTTTGCTAACACAGGAAGCAGCTTTAGTGCTAATGTAACAATTAAGAACAAAATTTGTGCATATGGTGAGTAACTGATGCTTTACTGATGCATTAAAAATCCGTGCCATCAAGTTTGGTCAGTCTCATCATAAACAAACACTTTTTAACGGTAAAGTAACTGACCTGAGGTGTGACAACTCCTCGTAGCAGGTCTACGATGGCTTTCTGCTCAGGGTCCTGCTGGAAGAACGAGTGGAAGCGACTGTAAAACGAGTCTACCGCCCCCTTCAGGCCACACCGTGCCATGTCCAGGTGCAGGTAGAGGAAGAGCGGAAACAAGACGCCGCTCACCTCCTTCACTAACGGCGCTTCTGCCTCTGAAACAGAGAAAACAGCTGTTAAACCCAGATGACATATGGATTAAAGCATTAGGAGCATGTGTCTGTCATCTCTCACCCTGCAGGAAGGAGCGCAGTCTGGAGAACTGGGTCTCATACTGCTGCGGGACTGACTGACACGGGGCTGCGGACACCACATTCGCACAGCTGGACTCCGTCTGAACTGCACACGCCAGAAAGAGATCGAAGAGATGAGCATCGCTGTTACTATCGTTTAGAGTTAAGGACCCATGTTCATATAAAGAGGATTCACCCGTCAGACTGGCTGCCATCTCCTCAGCAGACTGGGAGAGTTTGGCCCCCTTCAGAGACCCATCTGTGTCTATATACTGCCTCCTCTTCAGGTACTGGGTCACCGTATACTGGATCTGCTCCGTCCGCACCCGCTTCATCTCCTGATGGAGACACGCAACACACACACAGTGTCATATATCTCTCTTCACAGCAGCCATTAATGGTGCGCAATGCGGGAAAAAAAATCCAACATATAGACTAATGCTTGGATTCACAGCATTCACTTGGATTCAGTCTCAAAACACACCAGGGAATCATATCAATATGAATGTTTGACTCGATTTTGGGCAATCATAAGAATGCTTGAATATTTGATAAAATTTTAGGAAATCATAAGAATGCTTGAACGAATATTTGATTCGATTTCAGGTAATCATAAGAATGCTTGAATATTTGATTCGAATTCAGGGAATCATAAGAATGCTTGAATTAATATTTGATTCAAATTCAGGGAATCATATGAGTGCTTGAATGAATATTTAATTCGAATTCAGGGAATCATAAGAGTGCTTGAATGAATATTTGATTCGAATTCAGGGAATCATAAGAGTGCTTGAATTAATATTTGATTCGAATTCAGGGAATCATAAGAATGCTTGAATTAATATTTGATTCAAATTCAGGGAATCATATGAGTGCTTGAATGAATATTTAATTCGAATTCAGGGAATCATAAGAGTGCTTGAATGAATATTTGATTCGAATTCAGGAAATCATATGAGTGCTTGAATTAATATTTGATTCGAATTCAGGGAATCATAAGAATGCTTCAATTACTATTTGATTCGAATTCAGGGAATCATAAGAATTCTTGAATGAATATTTGATTCGAATTCAGGAAATCATCATGGAATCATAAGAGTGCTTGAATGAATATTTGATTCGAATTCAGGGAATCATAAGAATGCTTGAATGAATATTTGATTAGAATTCAGGGAATCATAAGAGTGCTTGAATTAATATTTGATTCGATTTCAGTGAATCATAAGAATGCTCGAATAATTGATTTGATTTTAGGGCATCATAAATTACACTTATTTGATTTCAGGGAATCATAAGAGTGCTCGAATATTTGAGTTGATTTCAGAGAATCATAAGAGTGCTCGAATATTTGAGTTGATTTTTGAGAATCATAAGAGTGCTCGAATATTTGAGTTGATTTTAGAGAATCATAAGAGTGCTCGATCATTCCATTCAATTCGGACGTTCAATTCCAACGCGTCTATAATGCCTCAAATAGCTGCCTAGGTAGGTAACTCATTATGATTTGAGACACAGACAGGAAAAGCAGGTTAATTTCTGCGCCATGCAGCCACATATCAATTCCTTAGTTATCTTCACGTAAGATTTATGAAATAAATCAAGACTGCTCAGAATCCTGCAGGTCAAATATACGCGCGGCCTCGGTCACCGAGCCCATTATCAAACTCTGATCTCAAATACACTCGACTCGCAGCGCTTTAGATCTGTTTTACAGTTTAGTAAAGCTGTTAAACACCTACTGCATACTCCGTATATGACAGTCCTGGAGAAAAGCGCTGGTTTAAGCCATGAACGAGGAGTTCAGGAGAAGACTGCTGCTCCTCACCGCTGCTCACTCTTCTTCTGCGCCTCCACTGAGAGCGCGCTGAGTCCGCAGGCGCTACACTGCCATCTAGCGCAACGACCGCATATATCTTCTTCTTCTTCTTCTTTACATTTTATTGGCGGTTGGCAAACCAACGACCGCATATATAACCATAGATAATGATTATAAGACATTTTCGAAATTCCGTCGGCTATCTTACTTTTTTGTATTTGTGTATTGATTTGTTTGTCTTATACATATATTTAAGTATGAAGTTGAAGATATAAAGACATGTTACCTTATATTAAATTATGGTAATTACATAATGAAATATTATTATAATTATAACATCATATTTATTAAGTCACGATCTTTTTAAATTAATTAAATTGCACTTATTTGTATTTAATGAGACAGTTAAAATACATTTGCCTCGCAATGACCTTAAATTCACATCCCGGCAGTTAAAAAAAAATACACATATATAAAATAAAAATATAAATAAGATCAAAATGTATCCATAAATAAATAATATTTTAAGTGTTATTTGTATTACTTATTATTATTATTAATATTATTGTTAAAAGTGAAGACTGATAAAGGAGAGATATGTTTTCGTTGTAGTTTAAAGTACAGAAATAAAGAAGAAATTATTTTTAATATAATGTTGAGATGGATACATTTCGGCGCAGACACACCTGAGTTATAATAATATGCAACATTTTACTAGTTAACATATTTAAATCTGAAACTACATTATCCCTTTATACTACTGCGAGAAATAGCCACCAATCCTAGTCGGTTTTCAAACGCTTGTTCTGTAACACTGACCCAGAATCAGTTTATCGCAGATCAGCAGCAAGAGCGCATGCGCAATGCGCATTTGAATGACGCGCATTGTGTGCGCCTGACCGACTGTAGCGAGCGCGCGGTAAAAGCTTTCCAACGTTTATCGCGAATAAGTTTCCGTCCGTTGTAAACAGGCTGCCGGCCCAGTATGTTCACTCCCCGCGGCACACCGAGCTCAGGCCGCAGACAGGCGCCCCGGACCGGCGGTCGGAGGAGCGTGAGTGCCGTTCAGCCCGGGCTGCTGTTCTCTCCACGCCGCTCCGCTGTCACAGCCAGGTAAAACAGAGTAAACACACAGACGAGAGATGCTAAACTTACCATGCTACTATGTTTTTTAAACATACACCACGGTATTGTTTTCAGTACCAAATAAATACCATGGAAACGTTACATAAATATGATAATTCTTCAGCATTGTGTTACATATGACAGTAACGTTACCGTCTGATACCGTCACGGTATTTTTGTAAAGTTTGTTATAGAGTCTTGTAGCAAAATCAATTATTTAATTACATATAATTTTTTAATTAATTTCTTTATATTTAATATATTTTATTCTATTAATTATAAAATAATAAAGTAAGATATGTAATTTTCCTATTATTGTATCTGAATTTCTTTTACATGTTTTGTAAATGTACAATAATTATGAAATTGTTCCTAACTTCAAAACAAATAGTAAGGCTTTTTTTTTTTTTAGAAAAAAAGGTAGCTTGTATAAATAAATTAAATAAAATCTGAATATGACCATTTATAGTTAACTTTATTTATTTTTATAGTTCAGTTTATTTATTATTATTTTTAATTGATTTGTGCATCTCTATTCTTTCTCCAGATCCACTCCCACCCGAGTTCAGAGTCATGCAGTCCTCGATTCACATAATTTTGACATTCAGACTTTCGGATCATCTCTGCCTGTCAAAGTCATGGAGGCGCTGACCATGGCCGATGGTAAAGATTCGGGTCTTTAACTTTCAGGGATGCAAACTTGTCACCTTTCGGCGAAATTCGCAGTTTTGAATTCAAAATGGGTCATTTGTGTGATTCGTGTAGATCCAGTGGAATGACAAACGTGAGTGTAAAACATTACGCGAGTGAATACACTAAATTGTTCTGTGAGTCATTGCTATGATTGACAGTAATAACTGTAGCAATGGACGAACTATCTGACAAATCGATGATAAAATAGAGCTGTGCATTAAGTCATTCAGGGTAACAAAACTACAGCAGCAACAAGTCTGTGTTGGCTGAATATATTTAGCACAGGGCTGTCCAAACTCGGTCCTGGAGGGCCGGTGTCCTGCAGAGTTTAGCTCCAACCCCAATTAAACACACCTGAACCAGCTAATCAAGCTCTTTCTAGGCATACTAGAAACTTAAAGGCAGGTGTGTTGAGGCAAGTTGGAGCTAAACTCTGCAGGACACCGGCCCTCCA